CCCCCCCCCCCCCCCTTTAAAAAACCCTGCTGAAGAAGACTGTTAGGTCGAAACGCGTGTAGGGTTGCCTTTCCTATACTCAATTTCGATCTCTCACTCTTATATCCTCACCTTTTATGGCGTCCCATAAAAATTTCACCTACTTTAGTTTCTATATATAATCGTTGTTTCCCTAGTTTTTTTACGTACATGTTCATCATAGGAGTCGGAGTAAAGAAATGAAGAACAATCATTTTTTGAATACTGGTCCTCTCATTATTTAGGCTACACGATGTACACCAGTACTTGTCCAATTACCTATTATATACCAAAAAAGTAAAAACAAAAAACTAAAAAATGTATATACATGCATAAAAAAAATATCGTGCAAGTCCTCTGACTGACAAAAAAAAATCGAACAGTGTCAGGAGGCGGAAAAAAAAAATCGAGCAAACTGAAAATCTACCCACCCCCCCATCAAAAATCAAATGGTCCGTCCCTTACTGTAGACGCACTGTAATAATTCATAAACCTTGTGGCAAATCATGTCAGCCATAATATGTCACGTGGAGTGACTTTATATATCTGATAAAACATGTGGCATTATAATTGTTCATCCTCATTAGTATGATTATATAATGGTTCATCCTAATTAGTATTCTTCTGCAGTCGTGTTTTAAGCTATTTAAAACATGAGTAAGGAGTGTTGTAAATAGTACAAAAATCCCTTTGCATTAATTCACCGCTCTACTTGAAATCATTTGCTTCTACAGTAGATGGTAGCATGCAGCCAAGGACCCCCACTAAGACCAGTATACTGTATATAATCATCTCTCTTTATTTCTTTGTATAAGTAATTTTCCAAGTACTATCACTCATTGACAATGTAGTCATTGTAGCGTGCAATTACAAGTATGCGTAGGCGATGAAAATTGAAAGAGTCGAAGAGCCTTGTTTGTACTGAAATCTGCAAAGGTTATTTGTAAAATTTCACTTTGTTCATATTTAACTGTACAGAATTATGTGCATAATCTTGCAATGCTTAACGCAGTAGTAAGGTCTGCTGTTATCAAGTTGTAACAAGGGTGATAATGGACCGGTGATAAAGTAACTGCTAGAGTGGGCTGGAGTGATCTGGGATGGGCCATGGAAAATCTCTGGGCAGTTTCGATGGGCCGCCAATTTTTTTGTATATGTCCACGGTTGGGCCACCAAACAAAAACCCATGCATGTCTACTTCAAAAAATAAAGATATTAATAATAAAAGTAAACAGAACTATCCAAATTATCAAATGCAGATGATGCTATTGAAGCCGGTAATTTGTTTTATACAACAACAAGAAATGCATGGTCGAATCACATGCAGCAAATACAACCAAATGGAGAGCAGCTCAGTATCGTAATTGGTGATGAATGTGTTGGTCAAGCTTGGTGGAATTATGTTGTTCCAACAAGTCTGATATTGTGTACACATAACAAGTTGTTAACAAGTTGATGACAACAAGCTCATAGCAACTGGTTACGAGTCTTAATGGAAAACCTATAGCAAGTCTGTTACCGTCATCAACCTTGTAACAAACTGTTCAACTTGTTCCAGACTTGTAACAACAGCTGGGAACAAATTGTATACGAGCACATCCTGATATCAACTTGTCAACAAGGTTGTTCCATCTTGTTTGTATAGATCTGTAACAACCTGCGCGTTTCTATTATTGATCATTTAAAATATGGAAATAACTGAAACACACTCATTTCAGCACGTGAATAACTAAAACATCATATGGGAGTAATAATCTGACTCATAACAACTTAACGTCTTAAGAATGGGTAATTATGCTGACGGAACTTAATTTAATAATTAGCAGTACAAACCATTAATGATATTATATACTTTCAATCATTTCATTAAATAAATTAATAATATACATGAAAAAATATTCTCAATTCTGATTGACTAAGAGCAGTGTAATGTTTTCGAAATACAGTGCAAAAAATGAAATACAGTGCAAAGAAAGAAATGCAGTGCAAATTTCATTGACTATTTAGGCTTTCTGATTGGCTTAAAATATGAAACAATAACAAAGATAGCCAATAAGATACAGCAATATCCAACAGAAATAATACAAAGAGACAAACATTTACGGAGTTTTTAGGAGTGACAAAAATGGCTGGCGTTTATTGGTAAAAAAAAATTGCTGGGGTTAATTTTTTCAAGTATATTATTAATTAATAAGTAATAGTATGGTTTCTCGTGCAATTTGAAAAACCATGCACTCGTGAGTTTTTCAAAGACTTTAAATTGCACTCGCCCTTCGGACTCGTGCAATTTTGACGCTCTTTGAAAAACTCACTTGTGCATGTTTTATCCAAATTGCACGAGAAACCATCCGTATTACCTATACAAATAGAACTTGATTACATAACGCTTGATACATCAATATATCGTGCACCCCTTCTGAAAATAATCCATTTAAACTGAATCTGTATTAAGCAGGGAGTGTTATTTGCATGTAAACTGGAATGTCAATGGTTATAGTTAATTTTGGTCTAGCGATAAGGAATGTTGATCATGTTTGAATATTTTTGACTGGCAAATAAAAAATGCAAACTAGAGGGCACTATAGGAGACTGTATACCTAGCTCCGCCAGTGCTTTTTTGCTTTTTAGTACGCATAAATAATACAATGGGCTCCCAATAAAACAGAGCAGTTGTGTATACAGGATGTATAAATAAAAAAAAACGCAACCTCGGTATTTCCTAAGAAATCCACTTTGCAATTCTTAAGCATAAAAGATTTTTACGCACCTGGGAATTGAAATCGAATTGCTAATAGATCATATTACTGTTGTTGTACTACTGTACTTGTAAAATAAAAGTGTCATTAAATAAATGCATAAATTTTGCTTTATGCACTCGCGTGTGCAGTAATTTTGACAGTTGTGCTATTTTAAATTCCCAGGCCCCTTTTGTCCTTAAAACAATGTCGATTTCTTGGAAAATTCCGAGGTTGCGTTTTTTATACACCCTGTATATTGAACAGTCTGGCTAAGCTATCAGCGTATTTGTTGTGAAAACGTTTAAATAAATACTTAGTCACAAATAAAGATTCAGTACTCTACATTGGCGACGAGGATACTCGACAAAGCAAACCAGCGAAGGACACACGCTAGCTCAGTTTTAGCGGCAAACTAACGAGCAAAGGCATGGCTAACAACATGTCTATAAACTTTCCGCCGTTTGACCCTGATGTTGATCAAACAACGGTGTGGAATAGATTTATGAAATTCGTAGACCGTTTCAAGAATTATATGGTAGCCATAGACATCAAAGATAAACCTATTATATTTCACATTTATCACGTTTGTGAAAAATGTGAACTTCTTCTTTCAATGGTTTATTTAGGTAAAATATGATTCATGCTTTTGCAACATTTGTCCATAAACTTCAAAAATGGCCCAAGCAAAATGTTCATCGCTCTTTTCCCTTGCACGTCATTTCTTGTTGGTATCTCCCCAGCAGCATTGATCCAAGACTCGTCAAGTAAATTCTGTATCGTCCCAAAATATTGAAGAAAATCGTTTGGGTCAAAATTTCGTTCCCCAATACCTTTCTCGAAAGGCTGGGAACATCCAGGTAATATGGAGTTCAATACGAAGTTCGCCCATTCCAGAATATTCGGTTCCTCGGAGATTATTGCCTCAATAATAAAGTGAAGACTGAAGCGTAAATCTGCTATTTTCTTAACTACTTCTGTACTGTCATCCATTTGCTCCATCAAGTTGTACTTTGGCATGAAATACATCGGTAAATTTCTTTCCTTCAACGCAGATATCAAGTCGTCTATAAGTGATAATAGATGACCGACAATTCTCTCCTCAGTCCAGTCGCTTGGATCAGATTTCTCACAATACCATAGCAGGATCGTTTTAAGATGATAGGAACAAAGGATTTTCTTGATGTTAGAGCTCCATTCATTTTTATAATGTTTAACGAACGATTTAAAAGCGCGATACGTCTTGTGCTGCAGATCGCTGAGTTTTTGAATCAGGATTGTTTCTGCGTTGTAATAAGACAACCGGAAGTCGCCTTCAGAAGATCTTTTGCAGACAATATGAAAACCACTTTCGACGATTGTCTGAACGATATCTTGATTTGGCCAACATCTTGGTCTAGATAACCATTCTTGGGCACATAGTGGCCATCCGTCGCACTTGATAGCAAGGACAAAGTCTAATTCTGCAACTGGAAAAGGCATGATTTTTGACTGATTCGTTACTCCATTATCAGGTAGTTTGGAAGAAACCGCTATCGATGGTCCTTCGTCGACGTCTTGAACATATTCGTTGGAAAGTGGCGTAAAGATTGGTCCGTAAGTAATATATTTTTCTCTAAATCGTTCTTTCAGTTTCATTGACGAAAGCTTAGTACTTCTTTCATACCTTGCATTACTCGACGTTTCCAAGAAATCAGCCCACATCTTGATAAGGTCTTGATCTGTTAGGTACAAGTTCACAAATGCTGTATTTTCTTTAACTGTAAGGTTTCCTTTCTTTTGATCTTCTTTAGTGACTTTGATGTTCTTTAATATAAGCATGAAATCCGTGTCTGATATTGATTTTGTCTCTAAATTTACCTTGTGCGTTCCTTCATTTACGCTCCCAGAGACTAAGATGTCTTCAAGTTGAAAAGGCGCTTGGTTGTCGAAACAGTTGTTGGCTAAATTGAAAACGTCTTCATCGTAGAGATCACCGAGGATTTTATACATCTCCTTTCCTTCTTTGAATGGAACTGACGGAATCTGGCCCGTAATATCGGACATACGTCGACATCCTCGTGGATATCTGCAAATGTTTAAGATCGCGTTTCGAAGCCTGGTAACAATACTTGTATCCGCTTGGGCCATAACCTGTCCAGCAAGCAAGGGCGAAAGCAATTAAATTTAATGTATGGATATATATGCAGCAAGATATTGACAGTTATTCAAGGAGTTACCCGGGGCGCGCTAGCGAGAAATTCCCGTATGATGTTGACGGGATCGCGATATTTTACAATTATTGAATTCGGTTTCCATCACATAATATGCAGAATTATCAAGCCCAAAGTTGAAGTTCTCAACCGAAGCCGAATGCTGGGGCTCAGTGACACAAATGCGAAAACCGAGTTTAATAATTGTTTTAATATATATTAAGAAGATAAAGACGATATCCGCGCCCGTGGGATCAATTTGTGGAAATGATGATCAGGTCTTTCTCCCATTTGCAGAAATCTTTCCTTTTTTACATTCATAAGTAAGATATTTCAAAACTTTCCTGGCTGCTTCCGTTGGTATTCTTTCATATTCAAAAATTCGCTCCGCTTTAATCATGGCAAACCATATCAGAGACGGATTTTCGTTCGGGGGGGATAAATATCTGGGGGGCTTTGGCCGGGGCCTGGTGGCAACGCCCGGAAAGGCCAATGAAAAAGTTTAACAAAATTTGTTTTCTAGGCCTGCATGGCGAGATCTGAGACCATAATATTGGTAATTTTACAAATTTAGTAGTAAGAATAATCAAATATGAAACTATCAAATCGAAATATATATAATTTGCGGGGGTGCAAAAACTTTGGGGGGCGGTGCCAAATGCCTCTGGGGGTGCAAATCATTTCTTGGGGGGTGCGCACCCCCCCCCCATAACGTTAAACCTTATGACGTCACCCTGTTTAATTAATATCATGTCAAAAGTCCATATTTGGTCAGCTATTGAGTTGATATGACGATTTTGCAGCTGGCTGTTAGCCAATCAGAAACCATGATTTTTAAAAATAAATATTGTTTCTATTTCGCAAAATGCTACTTATAAATCATCTCTTGAAAAGTTTTCCTTTGAACTATGAACTATATACATATCATGCTTACAGCGGGAATCAACAACAACAAAAGCAAATATCAAAATGACGAAAATCTGCCGCGACTATACACCGACTTAAATGCACTGAGCATGGATATGTTCATCAGTTTTTATAATTATATATATATATAGTTATAGATATTTTTATAAAACTATACAATATACCTCAAAGAGTTTGTTCAGTGATACTTGTTGAACGAAAAAATGTATAACGATCGATGAAC